TATCTCTTTTCTTTAAATCAGGTCAGAGTTTGGGTTCTGTTATCCTGAGGCATTTTGGAAATGAAAGTTTAATACCTAGAAAAGAGGAGAAGCCAACAAAGGATAAAGCTGGGGTCATTATGAGCCCACTTTAGCTGCAGTAAGGAGATTGCCAGCGGACATGGCAGAGCTCATCAGAACTTGGTACTTAAGCTCTCAGTATTTCTCAAGTGTGGGCTGATGGTCCTTTTGGTGGGAGAAGCCCTTAGTACACATGATAAAGACAAAGAACATAAGGCTGGATGGCAGAAGAAAAGCATAGCGCATATCACATTGACTGTTTTTGTCTTCTTTGCCTCTCTCCAAGTTAGTAGGCAGAGCTGCTATTCCAGATAACATGAAGGATTAAATGTAACAATTCATGCTAACCACCAAGGTGTCCATTTCTGGTAGGCTTAACAATTTTTACTAGGTATTTTTAGGCAAAAGAGAGTCTTATAACTTAACTGCTCAATGCATCATATCTGTTGAATAAAATGGTTTTGAGGCCGGGCGCGGTGGCTCACGCCTGTAATCCTAGCACTTTGGGAGGCCGAGGCGGGCGGATTGTTCAAGGTCAGGAGTTCGAAACCAGCCTGAGCGAGACCCCGTCTCTACCAAAAATAGAAAGAAATTAATTGGCCAACTGATATATATATATAAAAAAAATTAGCCGGGCATGGTGGCGCATGCCTGTAGTCCCAGCTACTCGGGAGGCTGAGGCAGTAGGATCGCTGAGCCCAGGAGATTGAGGTTGCTGTGAGCCAGGCTGACGCCACGGCACTCACTCTAGCCTGGGCAACAAAGTGAGACTCTGTCTCAAAAAAAAAAAAAAAAATGGAAGAGGGAGGCAGTAAAGTAGGTCAGAGGGATGTGACATGAGAATGACTCAACTTGCTGTTGCCAGCTTTGGACAGAGTCAGAAGACCTGGCGCCAAGGAATGAGGGCAGTCTCTGGAAGCTGGAAAAGTCAAGCAAAGAGATTCTCCTCTAGAGCCTTCAAGAAGGAATGCAGCCTTGCCAACCCCTGGATTTTAGCTCCATGAGACCCTTGTTGGACTTTTATTCCACAAAACTGTAAAAGGATAAATTTGCATTGTTTCAACCAAGAATTTTCTTGCAGCCGTAGAAAACTAATAAATCTAACTCAATGATTCCAAATGACATTCCTCTTGCCACACTTAGTCCATTGGGGAAAGAAAAGTGGAACCATGATTATTTACTAGCCTGTATACATGTACCATTCACCATGGCAATGAAGACTGCTTGTGGTACTCCATTCTTCCACCTCAAAATAGAGACACTGAGCAACCTCACAGCAACATACACTTGCCTCTCTCACTTCTCCAACACTAGCCCTCCCCACTGAGCCCTAAATTGATTATTTCATTTTTCTTTTTGTCCAACGCACGCATGAGAGAAAGCTTTCACATACATGACACATTTTGCTGGTGGCCCTCAGGGTAAGACTCAAATCCCCGTGAATGAGCTGTAATTCCAACTGTATTCATTTATTTCTAATTTAGGATTGGGGACACAAATGAGAGGTGAATTTTTATAGAAATAGCCAACCTTATTTAAACAAAATTCAACTCATGCACAACAAATATGCAAAACTTGCAGTCTAAGACAGAAAGTAAATGACAGTTTAGGATAATTAAGAAGTTGATTTATTTTCGTATCCTATTAGTTTTTGTGTGTGTGTGCAATTTAGGTTCTGTAGGAAGGATAAGTGGTTCACCCACCAAATCATTCTTCAGTTTTCTTTCCTGTTAAATGAGAGCAAAAAGTAGAATGATCTTATGCTTTAGCACGGGGAGCTGGGTGGTGAGGATAAGACTGCTTTGGAATCATGTCATATCCTTGAGAGGTAAGATGCTCTGAGATATGAACTAGGAACACCTGTACCCTTTATTCTTAATGCTGCACATTATTAGTACCTTTAGTGCTATGATAACTAAAGTTCATTGTGTGTTTACATCAATTATTACATTTAATACTTCATGCTACAGATGAGAAAATGAAGGCAAAAGAGACAAAGGAATTGCCCTGGACCATATAGATAGTACACGGTGAAACCTGGATTAAAATCCAGGCCTCTGGGACTCTACAGCTCCAGTTCTTCATCATGAAACTTTATCACCTCTCAAAGTATGCTCTCCACTGTGAGAAGAGACAAACTCACCATGCAATGATCTTTGCAAGGTCATGTTTTGCATAGGCAGGTCCCCCATACCAGGAATGCTCTTAACTTCCTTCTCCACATGCTCAAACCCTACTTAACACTCAGAGCTCAACTCATTCCACTTCCTTCCCAAGACCTTTTTCCTTACCTCTACAAGCTGGTCTGCAGAAATTGATTATTCATATGAGGGGACTTCAAAAAGTTTAAAAGATAAAATTAAAAAATTAAAACTTTGTTTCTCAACATAAGCTGCATCAAGCTCAAGACACTTTTGTAAGCAATGATACCCGCCATTTGGTTCAACCCTAGAGAACTGAGAGCCCTGGGAATTTGACGATGTCAATGCAGTATTTTTTTACATTATGAACTGAAGAAAAATTGGAGCACTTTAAAGATTTTTTTTAAAGATTAGGAAATAAAAGAAGTCAGAAGGACCCAAATCAGGACTTTAAGGTGGATGTCTAATGATTTTCCATTGAAATTCTCACAAAATTGCCTTTGATGAGAAGAATGAGCAAGAGCATTGCCATGGTAGAGAAGGACTCTCTGGTGAAGCTTTCCTGGGTGTTTTTCTACTAACGAGTTGATTAGCTGTCTCAAAACACTCTCATAATAAGCAGCTGTTATTGTTCTTTGACCCTCCAGAGAGGCAACAAGCAAAATGTCTTGACCGTCCCACAAAACTGTTGCCATCACCTTTGCTCGTTTCTCTTTTCTTTTCTTTTCTTTTCTTCTCTTCTCTTCTCTTCTCTCCTCTCTTTTCTTTTCTGAGACAGGATCTCTCTCTCTCTCTCTGTCTCCCAGGTTAGAGTACAGTGGCCTCATCATAGCTAATTGCAACCTCAAACTGTTGGGTTCAAGAAATCCTTCTGCCTTGGCCTCCCCAGAGCTGGGACTACCGGCGCACACCACCAAGCCTGGCTAATTTTTATATTTTTTGTAGAGATGGAGTCTCGCTCTTGCTCAGGCTGGTCTTAAGCTCCTGACTTCAAGAGATCCACCCTCCTTTGCCTCCCAAAGTGCTGGGATTACAGGCATGAGCCACAATGCCCAGGCTAACCTTTGCTCTTGACTGGTCCACTTTTGCTTTGACTGGACCACTTGCAATTTTTGGTGGCAATTGCTTTATGCTTTATCTTATGTTTTATCTTCTGTTACAGTTCTTCAAAGAACTGCTTCAGTATCTTGAACCTACTTGTTTAAATTTCCATTGAAAACTCTGCTCTTGTCTGCAGCTGATCTGGGTGCAAAGATATTGGCACCTGTGGAGTAAAAAGTTTGCTCAATTTTAATTTTTCAGTCAGAATTGTGCAAGCTGAACCAGTTGAGATGTCTGTGGTGGTGTTGGGTATTGTTTGTGCTGTTAATCGTTGGTCCTCATCAATTAGGGCACAAACAAGATTAATTTTTTCCTTGAAAATTGATGTGGATGGTCTGCCGCTTGTGAGCTTTATCTTTAACATTGTCTCATCCCGTCTTTTATTATTATTACTATTAATTATTTGTAGAGACAGGATCTTTCTATGTTGCCCAGGCTAGTCCTCAACTCCTGGGCTCAAGTGATCTTCTTGCCTCAGCCTCCCAAAGTGCTGGAATTACAGGTGTGAGCCACTGTGCCTCCCCATGTCATCCCTTCTTAACACGAGTTATCCATTTGTAAATTGCTGATTTCTTTGGGGCGCTATCCCCATAAACTTTTGTAAAGCATCAATGATTTCACCATTCTTCCACCCACGCTTCACCATAAATGTTTATTCTTGCTTCGATTTTAGCAGAATTTATGTTGCTCTGATAGGGATTCTTTTTAAACGCTTGTCTTATCTTTTTTAGAGCCTCAAACTAGTTCCTCTTAGCACATGCTGTAACAAGATCGTATGAATTTATTTTGGTGCTAAATAATTTTGAATACATGCATAGTATTTTCATAACACACATTTTTCATGAACTTTTTGAAGACCCCTTGTATATTCTTGATATATAAGATGTCATTATATCCTTTGCAACACTAAGCCCAGGGCTTTGCATGTAGTAGGCAGCTGCTGGGTAGTAAAAATCCCCCCAGTCCACGTCTTAGAAAAGTGGGACTTGACTCTCTGTTTTCCCACTTACTGGCAGTATGGTCCAGGAGTTGGTGACCTCATTTGAAAAAAAAAAAGAAAAGAGAAAAGAAAAATAAGTAATACTCATCTCACAGATTTGTTATCAAGGTAAAATGAGCCACTGTTTATAAAAAATACTTTGTAAATTAAAATATCATTCAAATACAAGGGATAATAGAATTAAGTTAAATCAATTTTGTATTGCATTTTTTTAACTAGTCCTGAGATTGTTGAACTATGTCCAATTTTGTACATAAGCACATTTTCATGAGTGCATTATGATGCCATTAAGGAGGGCCGTGGAAGCTGGGGATTGTTTATTCTAGTAAAGAGAAGGCTGAAGTGAGTTTTCAAAACAAACTCCAAGTGTTTGTCTATTCAATAGACAATTGTGAGCAACTCCACAGAGTCACTGGCCTCAAATTAGAGCAAAAAGGGATTTGGTCCAGACATAAGGAAATGCTTCATGAAAATAAAGACTGTGAAACCTACTATTAAGGGAAATTGTAGAGACAAATAACAGCCACAAATAAGTTACTTTGTGGTGCCAAATTGACCAAGGAGAAAAAGAAACATGTTTATTTTTCAAAATGTGAATGTTCTGAAGCAATTAAACATCTTGCCCCACTAAATTGACATATTTTTGGTCGTGAGGGCACTATAAAATTAAGTTCTTTAAAGAGATTTTGAAAATAAGAGATGGCATCTCTTCTGGGGGAAAAAGAGAAAACAAAATGAAGAAATTATTAAAAATAGAACAATTCAAAGATACATATTTGTAAACTATTATAAAAACTTCTGTAAAGACAGTAAAACCTCTAAGAAATTGCCTTACTGAAATAAAAACCACCCATGCATATCCCTTCTCTTGTCCTCCTTATAATGCCTTCTTCGTCCCTGCAACAATCACCCTCTCTCTACGCTTGAGCATCCCCCACTATTATGCTGAGATTGGGAACCACAACACCCTACTTGGTGTAGCAGGTGGTAGGTGTCTAGAAAATAGAGTTGCCTTAAATAGCTGTATGGACATTACACAGAACAGGTGAAAACCCTAATGCTATTACAGACCTAGTTTCAGTTGAACTATACCACATGCGTGCCTTTCAAAAGGACGGGACTAGCTCTGTGACGACTGAATGATGACAGCACGCGTAACCTGAGTCCAGTGAGAGGTCACTGACCAAGCTCCATGCTCTACAATAAGCTTATCAAGGCCATCTCTTGAAATAATAGTCACTTCCAGGTCTCCTTCGTCTTCATCACTCTTTGCCTTCCTCCCTCCTCCCCCACCAGAGCCCGCCCTTCCCTCTTGGGGTTGGATCCTTCAGCAAGGTTCTCTCTTTTCTTGGGCTTTCCTGTTGCCATCACAGAGCCCTCAATGTCCTTTATAGACTATCTTAATCTAACTTTGAGTCAAAGGCCAATCTTGCCTCAGGAAAAAAGAAAATTCCTCATTTAAACATCTTCCTTAAAAAAGGAAAGGGAGAAGTTGTAACATAAACAATAAATTAATATACATTGAAGACAATTTCTAGACTAAGCAATGTCGTTTCATAATTTTCCTTAGAGAACCTGGGTATGAAAGATATTTCTAGCAAAATGTGGAGTCTTTTCTGCAGGTAGTGCTCCTTTGCATTTCCTGGGTAATTGTCTCATGAATCAATTTCCCTAAAATACAGAAGCAGGTTGTCCAACAAAGGCAGCTTCTATTGAATCTGCCAAAATGAGCAAAATTGACTTGTACCATTGCTACTCAGGTGTTAGGACATTTCAGCCATTTATTATTTTGAGCAGTTGCCTTGCAAGTTCCAAGATCAGTAGTTACATAGAAATAAAAATGATCACTTTTTTATTGTAGCAAAGTTAATTGGTTGATTGCTAAAGACAAGTTTATTTGTGCAGAGAATTGCCAAAATCTCTGAGTAAACATTATGTAAGTATTTTCCATGGCTGGGTATACCTAACGTGCCCATTTACAGTTTATTCCAGAGTTTACTTGATGTTTGTTCCAGTTTCTTTGCACAGTATGCACAGTATTAAAGCTCTGCGCTAGGCACTACGGGGGACTTGGGGTGAATGAGACCCAACTCCTGTGCTCAGTGCTCAGGGAACGTTCTGCAAACATTCAAGCCAGGTCCTTTACCATAAACTCTGAGGCCTGTATCACCTTGCCCCAGGCCTACCTGCCTCTCCAATAACTTTTCTCTTACCACGCCATGCTCTGGCCACACTGCTTCCTTTCTAATCCTCAAATTTGCCAAGTAAACTCCTCTTCAGAGTCATTGTCCTGTGTGCTCCCTCTGCCTGGAGCTCCCAGATATACACCGATAAGGCTCCCTTCCTCTCTTCATTTGGGTCTCTGTTCAGATTTCCCCTCCTCAGAGAGCCTCCCCAACCATCCTATCTATGAGAACATCCTCTGTCACTTACATCTCCTGCCTCTACTACGGTTTAATTCAGAGCTATGTCCTCAGTGCCTTGTATAGTGTCTGGCACATGGTTGGTGCTCAATAAACATCACTAACCTAATGAGTGAATGGATGGATGGGTGTTTGACGTAAGGGGAGCTGGACAGAGTCACAGACATTATAGTACAGTCACCGCTAAAAGTCTCATCTTTTGTCCTTTGATAGTTCCTTTATTCTCCTTAACCCCAAACCTTCCTACTTCCCCGCTCATTCAGCACCATGTGCTCCCTGTGATGCTGTGGAACTTGTGAAACTTCCTTCCACCACTCACCTTATCTAAGCAAGGTGCTTCCCTTCTTGCCAGCCCCCGTGGATGGAGAACTCCACAGTCTTTTTGGTTAGCATCCATTGAAATATTGTAGAAAAGTTTCTTTCCTAAAGGTTTCAAATATAAACCAGGCACCTCATCTTTATAAGAATTCCGCCTAAATAAGTTATATATTTTGGAGACTATATAGGATCAGACTCAAACCTAGTTCCCTCCTTTTTGCTCAGTTCTTATCTGAGTAAATTTAAGCTGGAATCCACCTGTGACAACAATTTTACCATCTTCTCTGTGAGAGTTTTTTTTAAAAACATCCTGAAGCCTGATTAAGGACAATAATATTCCTTCAGGACATTCAGCTGCTATGATTCCTGAGAAACAAGGGTCAGAGAACTCGGTAGCAACCATTAAGTGTCTACTATATTCCAGCACTGACTTGGAGATACATGATAACACTGAGGTCTACCACAGGGTCCTGTTTGTAATGCATTACTTGGGAAGGCAACCAGAATACCTCTTACCTTTTAGCTTCCCTCCAGTACTTCAGGTAGCTCAAGCGCTAAAAAAACATCTGTGTTATCTTTGGAATGACCAAGCATATCAGTCCAAATGATGAAGGCTAAGCTGCAATAACAATATGTCAACTTAAATAATATAGAAGTTATTTCTAGTTCATGTAATCGTCCAAGGGTGCTGTAATAAGGCTGGAAAGGCACCCTGTCCTGCAGGTCACCACTACTCTGTGAGGTCATCCAGAAGCCAGGCTGGTGGGTTGGTTCTGCCATCATCACTGTTTGTTTCCATATCTGGGTCCAAAGCAGCTGGTCCAGTTGCTGCTATTTCTAAGCCAGAGGGAGAAGAAAAGAGGAAGTACAGGTTAAAGCACCTTTATCTTTAAGGAAAGATCCAAGAGCTAAAGAAAATGTAATACTACTCTACCATAAAAACGAATGAAATCATGTATTTTGCAGCAACATGGATGGAATTGGAGGCCATTATTTTAAATGAAACAACTCAGACACAGAAAGATAAAAACTGCATGTCCTCACTCATAAGTGAGAGCTAAACAATGTGCACACATAGATTCAGAGTGCAGAATAATGGACATGGACTCCAAGAGGTCGGGGGTTAAAGGGGGTTGGATGCTGGGAGTTGTTTGGTGGGTACAGTGTGTGTTGTTCCAGTGATTGATGCACTGAAGGCCCTGGCTTCACCACAGTGCAATACTGTACTCGTACCACACGAATACATACAAATAAAAAATAAATCGGGTGAGGGAGAAAAGAAGAAGATCTAGGAGCTACAGATACCATGTTTTTCTTAGATCCCATGGGTAAGAATTTAGTCACATGTCCCACCTGCACAAGAAGCTGGGTGGCCATGTGCCCAGATAAACTCGGAGAAAGTTACATTACTAAGAAGAAGAAGAGAATGGTTTCTGGGGAATGGCTGGCAATCTTTAGTCAAACTAGGTTATTAATTGGTTGGGTTTTAGGCCTAGGGAATAAGCTCTCTGGGTGATATAAGGGACACTTGCATGTTTTTTGCTGACTACAATCTTTTGAACAACTTTCTTGAGCGTGGAGAATTTCCCATTTTATAACTCCTGGCTCCCCATGAGTAAGGCAGTAGTTGTTTTCCCAGCATCCTTGCAGGTATGGCCCAAGAATGTGGTCTGCTGATCTGATATACTATACAACATTTTAATTTAGAGGCAAGCAACATGAGGAGCTTTGCAGAATCCATTTTATGGAGAGGAAACAGCAGAGGCATTTAGTTTGGAGATAGCAGTGGTGCTGGTCCTGGGGTCAGCGATATAAGCTTCTAGTCAGAGAGGCCCATGGTGGGGATTGGGCATTTTCCCTGGCTGTGCCATTTCTGAGCCTAAATCTCTCATCCTACTGAAGATTCTCACCTAATATTCTTTAATGGTTTTTGGTTATTGTTGCTTGAATTAGAGATGCGTTTGCTAGTGGCAACTAAGGATCCTTCTAATAAAGCTGAAGATCACCTTGTGTTACTTCTGTACTTTTGTCCCTGGGGATGGTATCAGACAGGGTGGGGATAAGAGGTGTTATATACTTTTGGTCATCAGCCATTGTGTGGTGCTGTCCCAGATGTGTAGAATATGTGGATCTGGGATCCAACATTGGAAGAGGGGTAGTAGAAGTTGTACCACTCACCATCACTCCCAGTAACGCACTCGCGTATCCCATCCCAGCAACTTCTGCCCTTACTGCACTAGAAGTTCTGGTCCCCAAGGTGGGAGTGCTGCATACAGGGGACACATCAAAGTCTCCAATACATCTGTGGCGAATGCTCATTTTGGGCTCCTCTGGACAGTAGATAAGCAGGCAAACAAAGACGTTTCTATATTGGAAGCAGTAATTAACCTTGACTATTATTAGGAGATAGAGGTGCTGCTACAAAATGAGGGCAGGGAGGAGAATGTCTAAAACTCAAGAATCTGCTGGGATGATTCTTGGTGCTTTCCATATCTGCTGGTAATCATAAATGAGCTATTTCAGCAACCAGAGTTGGTAACCAGAGGACATAGGATTCCAGGGTTCTGAGGAACTGCAACAGGCTCCTTTGGCAGTAAGATAGCAAAGTGTGCGCTATCAAGCAAGTTATTCCTTGGACCACTGGAGCTTAATCCCGCTGGGGAGCTCTGAAAGGCTGTCGAGACCTAACTCCAGAGTCACCCCAACCAAGGATCAAGGAAGCTCGACTGTCTCTACAGCTACTCCCTCCAGTCATCCGTTGAGGGTGGTTCCCAGAAGGCATTAATTCCCTGGCACTTGTGGCTCGCTAGGCACATGGGCAGAGTGAGGTGCTGATGGCCAAAGAAACCGTTGAAGCAGAGTCACAGGCATTGTTAGTTGGAAATCTGGTTGATGTGCAAGAAAACAGTCAGTGCTAAGGGAATATGGGCAAATACTGGCAGCATGTGCTTCAGTCTGTCTCTTGCACTGCTCAGATCCACTCATGGCCACATTAAGTTTACCCCATCCTGTCACAGATTCTTCATGGTGGTGTTAAAAAATAATAAGGAGGGTTAGTGAGTTATCAAGACCAGCTACAGTCCCCAGTGCTGCAATTGGCCTCAAGGCTGTAATTGACATTCTTTGCTTCCTCCTGTATCACCCAGATTCACTCTCATGTTCAGCCATCCTTTGCTGGTCTCTAAGCCTGCTCTCAGGACCTGTGCAAGGCTCCTCCCGTGGCTGTTCCTCCAAAGGTGGAGAGCAACATTAAGTGGCCTGACCTCAGAGCCTGAGGGATGACTGAGCAATGGCTATGGGGGGGTGGAGTGGGTCAGGTGGAGTGTGGACATATGGGCCAGGGTGTCCACATGCGTGGATGTAGGACTCCTCTCTGTGGTACAGTATTAGGAGTGGAAATAAAGAGGTAATAGGGTATAGGTAGAATGTTTTGGCACAAAATTCCAAAGAATCAAAAAAATTCTAATCTTGACCCAGGCCCTCAAGTCACTTAGGTAAACTTATCAAGGTAGAAGGATAGAATCTGTTTCATTTAGCAGTTTGTTAGCTTGATTTATAACTTTTAAATATCTAGACATTTGTGATATGGCCCTTTATTTGTATTCTTGCCCCAGGCCTGAAAATATTAGGGACAGGCCTGGCAGTAAGTATGTAATCAGTAGATGAGTCCTAAGCTGTAGAGCTTTCTACAAAAAGCTTTCTTTTTGTGAAGAGCAAAAAGAAAGCCATGTGTGCAGTGGACCAATCTTTCTAAGAAACAGAGAGGAATTATTCTTCAGGGTTACTCACTTATACTTTTAGTCATCCTCGATTCCAATGCTTAAAGCAAAACACTAGACTTTGGACCATTACTATCCTGATGAAAAGATAGAAGAGTCGTTGATGAGGATAAATCACTGCATTGTCTTTTATTTATTATTACTGCTTTTCACTAAAGTAGCTGGTAATTAGATCCATTGCTGTACCCTGTTCCAAAAGAGAGCAGGCATTGTCATTAGCACATTCCTTCAGCTATAAATGGCCAAGATGATCTGCTGAAGAAAGAGTCATCCATTACTTTGGCACCTCCAGGCTAGATTCTTGTGATACAGTCCATGTATGGAAAGTAAGGCTTTGCCAGCAGCAGCAGCTCATATGTGACACTCATGCTTGGCTATCTTTGCTTCTCAGAGCCATTTTGATATATTTACAACATGGAATGGTTAGTCTGAGCCACACATTGTTTTCAGTAATTCCATAATGTGGGTAGAAGTGTGTGTGTGTGTGTGTGTGTGTGTATGTGAGTATATGTGTGTTTGTGTGTGTGTGTATATGTGAGTGTATGTGTGTGTGTATATATGTACATATATATATCATAGTTATGATAATGAATACTGAAAAGCTACTATTCTACTCCCACCACACATTTGGATTCAAACTGAACCCAAATTATTGAATATAAGAGGCAAAATAGGCATTCAGTAAACATTGGTTGAATTGAATGAAATGGGATTGAAATATGCCCCCACTGAGACATAGACCTCTTAGGGATGGTATTTCGATTAAACTGGTAGGGATGCAGAAGGAAATGCCATTTAGATGTTCTTAGGGTTGACACTGTGATTTTTCAAGATACCTGAAAATGACCACTTCAAAAGATGTGCCCTTGAGTTCTCTTGCTCATATGAGGTCAAGCTGATAGGATTATTTAAGCACACATAACTCAGAAGAGAAAGTCTGGCTGCTCACGGCCAATTAAAAGAGTTTCCCAAATTTTGACTTGGGGTTTGAGTTTCCTTTGTTTTGGAAGTTGCAGTTATTAATAGAAAACAAATAAAAACTGTTCATGCGTTTATTATTCCCCTCAGACTTTGCTTAGAGGTACACATTCTAATTTGGGATGGAGATTTTGGTAAATTTATTAATTGGTTGTGTCCTGGTAATGGTTTTTGTGGGATAAAAGCTCTCCTTGTATCTCAGTCATTATGGACAGTGAATCAACTCAGGACTTTAAGTGAGGTTTATTTTCTTCACAGATTAAGGCAGTATTTTTCCAAACAAATTAAAAAAAAAAAAAGATCTTGCTTAATTAAAGGGCTTCACCGGACAGTGTTCTTCATCATCAGAGAGCCCGGCTGCTGGCTGTCATTTCCTGTGTCAAACTTCCTCTTACCCCTCGGGCTTGCACATGAGACAATTTGAGGGGGCAGGGTCTCGGCACTGCCACTCACGTCTTGTGCCCATCAGCACCCAACTGGACAGAATGTTAAAGAAAACTCAAAACATACAGCCTGGGTAGGAAGAACTAAGAACTCTACATTATGTTCTATCTTGTTTCATTTATTTATGTTTCATCATAATCTATGCCTGCCATTCCCTTTGCATTTTCCATAGATTCCAGTCACAGGCCAGATTCAAAACTGGATCCAAACTATTGAATATAAGAGGCAAAATACTCATTCAGTAAACATTGGTTGAATTGAATGAAATGGGATTGAAATATACCCCTACTGAGACATAGACCTCTTAGGGATTGCTTGGCTGCAAAAACCAGAAATCTAGATGACTAGCTAAAGCCAAAAAAGAAAATTTAATGGAAGGATGCATGCATTTCTTTATGAGGAAATGCAAAAGAAAGTGGAAACCTACCAAGAATGAAAGAGAATGCTCTTTAGTGTTGTCAATTCTCTCATTTCTGAAAATCTGCTAATTCTTTCTCTTTTTTAACTTTCTAGATTTTTCAGTGTATGTGACAGAAAATGGCATTGCAAACCCCACATAAATTCTTTCAAGTGCTAGTATATGTCAACTCTAGCCATTCTGTTCTCAACACACAGGCACTGGCTTTCTTTCAAGCATTTGACAGACATCATTGTCAAGCAGAATTCTTTCCCACCAAGTTTGGATGCTGTTTCACATTCTTTTTAATACAGAGCTCCAGACAGCCATGACTAGTTGTTTGAAAATGACCATCTCTATTCTCATTCCTCTTTCAATGGATAATCCTTCAAATAGTTTAAGGTACCTATGGGGTCTACTGTGATTATATTATCCTAAAGCTCAATATTCCTAATTTCTTGAGTTATATGACATGGTTTGGAGCCTCTCTTACTCTCCTGGTAACAGCAGAGTTGCATAAAAAACTCATTTAACATAGAAATTCAGTGATATCTGTGTTGCACCAAATAACAACAACAAAGGTAAGAAGAGAATCCTCTTTTTCTCCCCTCTCCATTTACACTTGTAGGGGAGGAAAAACTTTTTCTCTAAACTCTTAGATTCTATAGCTGGAGTCTGTGAATTAAGTGGACAAAAGACACATTAACAGGAAAAAAGAATGCAAATTTCATTTGATGTAAATATTTTTATGTAGCATGAGGGGCTTCATAGGAAAGAAGTAAAAACCTCAAAGAAGCAATTAGACACAAAGGCTTATATCCCATTTTAACAAAGGGCAATAAATTTGTAAAGATATGACAGGACAAAGGAAAGGGGTTTGGTCTCTTAGGGATAGTAATTAGTGGGAGAGTGAGTAGAAAATATATGAGGGAAACTAATGGAAGACAGGAATTATTTCAGTAAGACTTGTTTGTACAGACTCATCTCCACAAGAACCCCCCACCTTCCTGTCTCTGGTGACAGGAATGTTCCCTTCTTCTTGGTAACAGGAGGGTACCTTTCTCATGGAAAATATACACGGTGATTTTAAGCAGAAAGAGGAAGGGCAGAAAGCCTTTTTCACAGCTACTATTTCTCAGTTGCCTTCATCTCAAAATAATCAATAGGAAATAATGAGATATTCTGAGGGGACATTTTCTGATCCCCTTATGACTCACCAACCTTACCAGAGTTACAGCGAACCAGGAAAAGGGAACCTATAGGAAATTTATGCAGGGAAACAAAAGGAGTTAATTTTTACCGTTGACCCTGGTCCTGGAAATATAAAATTGATTTAGGAAATTTTCAAAGATAAAGTTGACCAGACATGATTTTTAGTGTGGTGACTTTAGGATTTGTGCCTCCCTTAAAATGAGACACTGCTCTATTTTCTTCTGAAGGTGGTCCTATTTTCCATCTTTCACTTATAGAATTGTCTCTAAAGGTGGAAGCAGGACTCCCCATGTGGTCTCAGCAGAAGGTGGTGTGGTTACCATCTTACTCGTTCTAGATGCTGTAGTTCTACATATGTAGCATATCAGCAGCGTAGGGGTTACTGAAAACCATAAATACTGCATTTCCTCACACTTACTATGATAAAACCAGAAAATAGTGCACCCATTCATAACATGAACACAAATGTAATACAGTTAGGACCTACATAGCCCCTGTTCTCATTAATGTTGCATTAACTTACCCCACTGTAGTATTATAGTATGATTTTTACATTTATTTATTTATCAGATGGTCTCACTCTGCTGCCTGGGCTGGAGTGCAATAGCGTCATCACAAATCACTGCAACCTCAAACTCCTGGGTTCAAGTGATCCTCCTGCCTCAGCCTCCCAAAATGCTGGGATTATATGTAAGAGCCACCATACCTGGCTAGATTTTTACTATAATTTATAAGATAATTCAAACAGAAGCACATTGAAGAGGGTCCAGTCCCAAGAAAATACTCAATAAATGTTTACCTTGCCTAACCTCCGGAGGTGCTTTAGTGTGCAAAGGTGCAGGCTTTTGCCTGAATCACTATAATTTTCCCCCACTGGTTCTGGTCTATAGTTTTAGCCTGTCATGATCTTTTGGTCCAGGTTCCATCATCCAATATTAATGTATTAATGTTTGCTGTTCTTTACAGGTTTGCGTGCATCAGATTTGCTAAGTGACTTTTTGACAGCATTTTCTTCCCTTTTCACATGTCCAAATCTGAATGAGAGAGAGAAAGATAAGACATTCCTGGATTAAAACCCTACACTGATAGATACAACCTTATTCCACACTGTATAATGCAGAGTACCCCATGTTTAAGAACATTCTAAAATGTCATTTAATCTTTTTAAAAAAAATCCAATGTAGCGAGCTGAAACAAGAGAACACAATCCCCATAGCTGGTCTTTGGTTACACAGTGAAGATTTTGTATTTCAATTAATTCTCAGCTAGCAGAAGAGAAATAAAGAAACAAGAGAATTAATATTTTATTGTTGTTCATACACTTTCCCTCAAGTTTAAGGTGCACTGAGGTGAAGAATCTGCCTCACTACCTTCCATCTTTGGCTCTGCCGCCACAGGTCTACTTATAGGCACAGTTCTACTCATGCCTTCACTAAGCCTGCACATTCAATAAAGGAAGGAAGCAGAAAAAAGTCACAGAAAGCTCTTTCAAAAGATCCTTCAAGTGATTAAGGATGGTACACACTACGCAGGAAATGAAGCCCTTGGAGAGATTGGAGATATCCCTCAGGGAGAAAGGATTTACCTTCATTATTTCAGGAAGGCTTTTGATATGAAAGAGCAATGCCCAAGGGTAGGGCAGACAAGAAGAGAAAGAGAAGAAACTGATTATTTAAACAGGGATGCCTATGAGGATGAGCATCAAGCTTAAAGATATACGGATAATTTAAAAATAAAATTGGAGCATTCAGCCCCAAATGCCCTACCTTCTTTGCAATCCAAAGGTGAAGATAAGTATTTAATAAAACCAAGTGTCAGTCAAGGAACATGTACACATACACACAAACATGCATGCATATATACATATAGATACATACACACACATAAATATATATCATATAAATGTATGTATAAAGGATCAGGATTAAAATATATCCTGATATTGTAGAAACTTTAGTAAGAAACATGGCTGAAAACCTAATGGCCCTGCACTGTTGGGGTTAAGAGTTTTGTGCCTCCTGCATATATACACATACACATACATATATACATATATATGTGACTATATAAAAAATACTGTAAAATACTTCCTAAAACTTTCAGATCTGATCACTAAAGTACTGATCTCTGATGCAGAGAGGAACAGTGTGAATAGGGAACAGGGCATGGTGTTCGGAGCCAAAATGTCTGAGGTTTGAGTTCTTGCTTGGCCACTTGCTGTTTTACCTTGATTAAAATTGTCTGAGTTTCAATTTCCTCACATTTGAAACTGGCATAATAATAGAGAAGTGACAACATGTCATGCTCTGTAAAGTCTAGGCAAATTGTGTGTTACTAATAAACATTTTATCACTGGCTTAACCAAATACTTCCATGATCCCACCAAGATTCATGAATATCATCATTCTTTCAACTATTTAGTAGGTAAGAAAATGAGCATGAAGAAAAATTCCTTTTCTTGAGATAAGAATTCCTGACTGAGCTGTTTATATTTATTCACTGATTTTTTCCCCCCAATAATTGGAGAACAATGCCTGTAATCCCAGCTATTCAGGAGGCTGAGGCAAGAGGATGGCTTGAGCCCAGGGGTTTGAGGTTGCAGTGAGCTATGATGATGCCACTGCACTCCACCCTGGGCAACAGAGAGAGACCCCATCTTTTTTTTTTTCTGCTGCGCCTCCTCCTTGTGGGAGAGACCCCATCTCTTAAAACAAAATTGGGAGAGAACAGGAATAATGGAAATACCAATAAAAAGAACTCAACTTAGAAAACGTAAGGCAGCCAGAAAACCAGTTCCAATGAGTGTTTTTATACCTCAAAGTAATTCACTTTGTAAATGCTGTGTCAGGCCCATCCCTAGGGGTCGTTGTCCTAAAAAATTGTGTTAATTATTAGTCTAGTTTCAGAGCTGGAAAGAGAAATATCTCCAGGTAATTTAAGAAGAAAGGAATTTACTACAGGAAAATAGGCACTTTTTAAATGACCGGAAGGGCTGCTGCCATCACTGCAATGACTGAGCTTAGGAACAGACTGCCAATGCTGCCTCAGTGGCTTCTCCAACACCCGCCCTCTCCTCAGCAGCTTCGCTTGTCAGCCGGAGGGGGAAAAAAAAGAAAAGAAAAAAAACCATCAAAACTACAGATCATATCTACTAATGTCCGTAAACAAAAAGATAGATGATGAGAAATTTCAATGTGTTACCAAGAGCAAATGTTCAAGGTATTTCATATAAGGCAGGATGCTCATGACAGTCGAGTTTTAACACCTGAGGTTGACAGTGGTGTTTTGTGTTCTAGGTGGTCAGGAAAGAACAAACACTGAGTCGCTTTCTTCATTTCTGAGCCTTTTAAAAAAGAGATGTTCAGATTTGATATAAATATTCTGCCTAGTCAGTGGGTAATGTTAACAACTATGGAAACAGCTTTAAAAGCAGTGATAGAGCCAAAATATTCTTTGCCACTAGAGAGAGAAACAAAGAAATAATCATGTAGCTGCCATTTATCCCTTACATTATAGAAATTTCCAAATCAGCATTTTTTTTGGCCGTGAAAGTGAAGTTGAAGGCACTGGACAGAAGAGAATGACCCTGACTTTGGGCTGGAAAGTCCCCTTGGTGGGGGTCTGGGTGACGGTTTGGAAGGGTGCCCAATGCATGCAACCTCACAGGAGGTGAGATGGAAAGCTGGCTCTGAAATCACAAATTTTACAAAATCCAGTCAATTGAATCTTGAATGATAAAAGTTTCTCTAAGTTTTTTATATAGATGTCTCCTACAATTAAATATCAAGGCATATGTTCTAATAATGATTCCTCACTGGTGCCCTCTCCCAGAGCTTGACACCCTTGTACTTTTCCTCTTGTAGCCCCAGGCAAACAATGACTATTTTTTTTTTGTTGTTTGTTTGTTTGGCAGACATTATTCGAAGTGCCCTCCCTATTCCAAGATTCAGGTGAGGACAGGCTTGGGCAGTGAGGGAAGTCACATATGTGTATACATTTGTCATCTCGCTCCATTCTTGCTATTAATACATACGCTCTGAAGCAAGTGATGACAATGGGCCTGAGCACTGGCAGGACAGCTACGCCTCTCTCAGTCTGGTGCACAGTCATCGTTGTGCTCAGAATTGTTTGTTTCTGACAGTTATAGCTGCTGGATCAACACTTTTTTTTTTTGCAAAATGACTCAGATCGTTATGTTCTGTTGTTTTGGGGTAATACCTATGACAAATATTAGGATGTGACAATGCTGCGCTAGGAAGAGTGGACGTGACAGTGAGCACTCACTTTAGGAAGTAGTATCTGAAGGCTGTAACTCTGAAAGTCTGGTGACTCAGCCACTCAAAATCCTAGATAACTACATGTCGTTTTTCTATAATCATCTAACAATTGCTCCAATAATATATAGGAGGAGACGTAGTAAAAGTTGAATTTTATGATGAACGTTTTAGTGTCTAGAGAGTCTCTTTGCTTAATTCTTAATTCTAAGAATAGATGGCACTTTAATTGCTCACATATATTGAGACAACATGCCAGGCACTGCCCTCCAGGTTTATGTAGCAGTACAACTCCACGAGATAGGCACAGTTATTATTATTACTACCATTTTGCAATAGAAACTGCCACAGAGAGATTAAGTAATTTGTTCAAGGTCACACAGCTTGAATAGAATCATCTAAATCCCAGAAGTTGGGATCAAATTCCTCCCCAGGACTTCTGTTTATCATTCTGGACACCCAGCCCCAAATGTTGGATCTGGGAGGAACCTTAGAAGTTATAGAGCAACCCATTCATCATAGGGATAAGGAAAGCAAAGCCAAGAGAATGTTAAATGATGTCCAAAGATCTACATCTGGATTGTGGCAAAACCAAGACCATAGCCAATGTTATTTTTTTCTATTACATCATGCTTTGGCTTTTCTCTGCCCATTGTTCTTTACTGCTAATGAATCACTAAGTTTTATTCACGTCCTTCTTTGCTTCTCTGATCTCTGTCCTTTCCTTCCGATCCCCAGATCCAGGCCCTGGTTATCCTTTGCCTAGAAGATTGTGGCTGTCTCTGACTTGCTTCTGGACTGCCTGTCACTTCTTCTTCAAAAGGGTTGAAATTGAAAAAAAAGTAATTAGTAATTATAAAATCCACCTTTCAAAAATAGTCGTGTCTATTCAGTCATTTTCCAAATGTTGCCAAATTTCTCCTTTGTAATTGCTAATTGTTATTATTAAAACATCTTTAAGCATTATTAATGCTCAGCCCTCTCTTGTAATTAGATGCAATAATTAGAACTAGTTTATATTAATCTGGAGTTTTTGTGTTGTGCTCTGTAAGCCATATTCCCTTCTGATTTGTTACTTGAACCTGACAAAATTCCTTACTTTATTTTTGGCCAATCTTAAATTAAAAAGAAAATACAAATCATGTTCATTACAGAAAACCCAGGGCATATATTAATAATTACAGAAGAAAAAATTAAAACACTTAGATTCTTATTCATCCAAATCAAGGTTAACGTACTTGTGTACTATTTCTCTTCTATGTATAGATTTTTCTTTTTTTAATGTGTGAATTTGGGAAAATAGCTAATATTCCTCTTTGGTAAAATGTGGATAATAATAGGTCTAGTAAAAGTTTGTTGGAAGGATAAAATGAGAATATACATGAATATATCTGGCACATAGTAATTGCTCAATAAATGGTAGCTATGAGCTGTTTTTACATTCAACTCTTCAATTTCCTGAAAGTAGTTTTGATATCAAGTATGAAATAGGGGAATGACTTGATTTTTCCCCTCCAGTGGTTAAGTAATTGGTTCACTTTTCAAAATTAAATTTGAGATAATTGTAGATTCACATGTAGTTGTAATAAATTACATAGAGAGATCTGTATGTTATTTACCCAGTATCTCCCAGTAGTAATATCTTGCAAAACTATAGAACAATATCAACCAGGATATTGACATTGATGCAGTCAAGATGCAGAAATTTTCAACTACAAGGATCCCTCCTGTTGCTGTTTATAGCCACACCTAATTCCCTC